CTCTTTCCCTACGACGCTCTTCCGATCTCCCCAAAACCCCAAAACCCCATATGCTAAAGATAGTTGGCTAGGTGTTTAGAAGTGTAAATAATAAAATATGATTGAGATATGGATCTTAAATTTAATATTTAATTCATTATGATTAATAAAAATAAATGTAGTAGCTATTGATTCAAAGACTCCTTTTCCTTAAGACATTTTTATTTTATTATTCAAAATGCATACTATTATCTGTCAGCTAATCCAAATAATATTCCTCTTGAGGTCTCTGTGGCAACCTATTGTTTTCTAAGAAATAGGGGAATAATGTTCATTCTTATTTATTAATTTATGCTTGAGATTTTCCTTCGTAATTTATTATATAGTCTTCTTTTATAAATGACTTTTCATTTCTATTGATGATTTTAATTGAGTAGCTAGATTACTTTTCTATTTTATCATTGAGTTCTAATTCTTTCATTATATCAGTCTATCGTGCATTAAATTTTTTGAGATGATCGATTTAATATTCCATTTTCATTTGATTTTCAATCTCAATAAAAGTTGAATATCGCATTACAATTATTTACAGCTTTAATTCTACAGCATTTTATGCAGAGAACTTACAAATTACTCTTTTTCATTTGAATCATTGATTGATATTCCAAGTTTTTAATAGCTATTGATGATTGAGGTTGAGGACCAGCTACCATTGTAATTTAGTTTTATCAAAATATAGTTTTTAGTGCTAATGCTTCAATATTTTTGACTTTGATCTTGCGTATAATCATAAGGAATTTCTTATTTTTAAATTGCTGACTTCTAAGTATCATTGGATTATCTCTAAATCCAAAAATACTGTCTTTGTGCTCCAAAAGTTGAACAGCAATGAAATTAATAAGCTTTTAATTGGTTTACTCTGATATATATTTCAGGTCTATAAAAAAAGGATAAGTATTAAAAATAATTTCTATTACAAATAATGTAACAAAGCGTATTCTACTCACTCCTTGTTCTCTTGATCCTTTCTATGATGGCCGTAAGCATCCAAGGTGATTCCAACTTCTTCAATAAGTTGACTGAGCATGTTCAAGCTATGAAGAGAGTTGATGGAGTCAACGTTCAAAAATGGTGAGCACAGAGGTCCGATTTCATCTATATGGAACCAAAAAATAAACAGCTGCATTAGCTAGTATGTTTATATAAGATAATCTTACATTTTAATAATTTTTCAAAATACTTAACTCTTTTTTGCAAATGCGTTATTGCTAGCATCTTTAAACAAACTTGTATTATAATCTTATCATTTTACCTCAATCTTCCACGTTAGCAAGGAAAATATCCCAACTATAAAACTGATATTTTACATCTCAAAATAATAACTTACTCATCATATGTAGAAACTAAAACTTACTTTTAAATATCTTGAAATTAATACTTAAAAGAAAAAGAATAACATTAAGTTTATGAGGTATTTCAATATATATCATTAGAATTCAAATTGCTCCTTCTGCTAACATCTTATAATAGAATATTAGTTAAGTGGTTTTCAATTTTGTCAATGAATGCAAGAAGATAATTTGAAAAATTTTAAGCTCTAAGTTAATAAAATCTCATATCTACTATTAATTATGAATTAAGCGTTTTATTATCCTGGATTTTTCAAAAATTCATCTCATGGGGTTTTGGGGTTTTGGGGTTTTGGGGTTTTGGGG